GCTTTTAAAACAGCGGCACCCATTACAATAATGGTGCATCCAAAGTAACAAAATGAAATGTACAAAGAAAGTCACAAAACCAAACAAAGGAATATACAATAAAAGAGCATGAAGTAAAAAGTCTAACCAAAACATTAAGGCAGTCATCACAATAATGGTGCTTTAAAATTAACAGAATAAAATACATAGTGAGATGCAAATCAATACAAAAAAAAAAGTCATATAAAAATAATAATAATATCAATAATAATAATAATAATAAAAATCATAACATAGCACCATTTTTAATCTCAATTCTTTTTGCCCATGCCTTCTTAATATAAGATTTACAAAAATCATCAAAAATCAAATGAGCCAAGTCAATTAAGTGATTGGGTAGATTAGGAATAAACTCTGTGCAGTCTCCGCCTAACATAAGGATAAGAAATGCATCAGTATCCTTTGTAAGGATCTGATTACATAACTCAGATAAGCCTGAATCATAAAGTTTATTCACTAAAATTTCGTGCTCAGATAACCGAACTTCTTCAAGCTTATTACAAATAAACAGAAAATGTCGCAAGTCTTCAATACCATTGTTACACAGTAAGCATGTACCAGGATTATTATTATCCCACTTACTAGCTTTTATTTCAAGTTGAAGTGAGTTAGAGCATGGAGAAAATAAAATATTTTATTTTCTCCATGGTTAGAGCGTGCCTTAAACTTAAGTTGAGCACCATAAAAATCAGTTTTAGTTAGGAGGTAACTTTCCATTTTAGGAATCCTTTTAAATTTAATATAATCAGAGAGGAATGATTTTTCGCTGGTTTTATTAAGCCAATCAACTACATTCATTTGTTGGAAAGTATATTTAAATGACTTAAACCATAATTGCTCTTCGTGTACTTACAATGCATTTCGAACGGATGTTCCACTATATTGGGATAAGTAAAGCTTATGATAAACTGACCAATGAGAAATATTATTTAAACAGAACGCATGAACATAAAGACATGCTTGGTCAATGATGGGCTGGTAATCATAGAAACAAAAGCAAAATTTAAACAATACAATGGCCAAAATTACAACAATAGCAATGCCCGATCCAATAGTGTAAAAACAATAGCCACCAGGGTGTACAATGTATGACGAACCAATCTAAAGATACCAGCTGGTAAACCAAATTATATAAGATAGGCCTATGAATATATGTCATAATAATCCATGAATATAGACATACATGTACAATGATATACCCGCTGAATTATAATCTAAATGAATTAAATAATACATTAATAAGCGTAGGTGCCATAGTCCCAAGTTTAAAAATTATTCTTCCTCTAAAAATTTCCTAGATGTATCAGTAGTGTTGCAAAGTTTGACTCCAGTAACTACAAAATTATTATCAACATTATGTCCTGTCCTAAAATGGGATGCAACTGGGCATCCAGGTAGTGCTAGTCTAATTGATCTTAAATGTTCTGTTATTCTATCAGCCAGTCGCCTTTTGGTTTCTCCAATGTAATGCATTTCTGGAAAATTATTGCATAAATAAGATTTGTGGACGTACAAATTATCACATATTTTAACATATCCAGACGGTCCTTCAAGTTTGTTGGTTGAGTATACATGTTATTACACCTTGGTCTCTGACACGAAACAGTAGTAGATCCATTAGGTGTGTTTGTGTGTGTGTTGGTGGGGTGTGTGTGTGTGGGGGGGGGGGGAGATACACACTGAAACGTCGTAAGGTAATTCTTTGTCAATTTTAAGTGGAAAGAGGAAATTAAAATAAAGTTGAATATTTCGTGAAGTATATAAAAGACAAAACAGGATAACCGTAAGTAAGTATAGATCAGCTATACGCTATCTTGTGGTAATGCAGTATATTTTGGTAATGATAATAATGATGATGATAATAATAATAATAATAATAATAATAATAATAATAATAATAATAATAATAATAATAATAATAATAATAATAATAATAATAATAATAATAATAATAATAATAATAATAATAAAAATAATAATATAATATTATTATTATTATTATTTATTATTAAGCAAACTACTTTGTTGGACTAATGGTTCTATGTATTGCTGCCAATACTGTAGGTTAGTCGATCATTGACAAATTTGTTGTCTTATTCTTATTATAATTATTATAATCATTATAATTATTAGAATCATTATAATCATAACCATAATAATCTTTACAATCACTACATTTATTATAATTTTCATAATTATAATTATTATTATAATAGTTACAATAATAATTATATTATTATTATTATTATTATTATAATATAGTAACTAGATACTATAATAATAATAATATTAATTTTGATAAGACTAATTATATGTCAATAATAATAATAATAATAATAGCTGTTATTATTTCTATTGTAATTATTATCATTAATAACTTACATTAAATTTGTATTGAAAAACATGTCATTAATAATAATATTAATAATAATATCACATATGTATTGGCATTAGGTAGGATCTTTATGGTGTTCAGAGATTTACGGTCAAAGGTCATTAAAGTGTTATTTTTTCTTCTCTCTAGTAACATTTCAAAATACTACTAATGGCAAACCATTGGACGAAATTCAATCAAATTTCGTCATTAAGAACCGGCCACACCTCCTACACCCCAGTCTGGGATCAGGGTAACATAGGGGTCATCGGGGTCAAATTTTCAAAAAACTCCAATTGAGCTCGAATTTACCAGGAATGATCCTTAGGACCTTCTAAACATGAAAAGCGACTCTTCACCTATAGGTCAAAAGTCACAAGGGTCACTATAGTAAAAATTATTAAATCATATTGAAAACTTGAGGACATCTGCTCACTGAACGGTTCACTGCACACTTTAACACAGTAAATGAGTCAAAACCGGACCCCTTTTCTCACAAAATCGACTATATAATTTTAATGGTTTCATTTGGCAATCTGGGGCAATCGGATTATGAAACTAGATGTTTTAAAGCTTTATAATCATCTATATATTTTTTAAATTAATGCAAAATTGAATGATCATTTTTCTTTCAAAATTGACTGTCTCTTATGCTTTTGCACAGGAAAAAGGTTAAAATTAGAGTGTTTTTTGGTATAATTCCTGCTTCTTTTTACCATAACTCTGCAACGACAGGTCGCTAAACTTCGGGGTGATCGGTCAATTGTAACTCATAAATTAAGCTTTCGTTTACCATGTAAGTTCCATGCTGGTTGCTTAAATAACCATTAATCAATTTTTCTTTACAATTTTGTATTCAGAACTGTTTTTACCCTGTCTATGAATGACGTCACGCGCTTAAGGCCAATAGCAGCTACGAATTTCGAGTTTTCTGCGGTTAGTGCGTTCGTGCGTTCGTGCATAAGATGTGGTCAAATTTACCTGAATGAGCTTTTGTCGCAAATAGAGTAAAAGTTTTCATTATGGTTTCTAGTGAGTAATGATTGGACCAATTGCATTAGACAGACTCCTACCAAACATGGGGTGTTCACACAGGTTGAGCTTAAAGGTAACAGTGGTTATCTCTTAAAAAATGACTGGGTTCATGTTCTATTGAACATAGTATCTCTAGTTATTGTTATATTATAGTAACTAGATACGATAATAATAATAATAATAATAATAATAATAATAATAATAATAATAATAATAATAATAATGTTAATTATAAATAAAGACTAAATATATGTCAATAATAATAATAATAATAATAATAATAATAATAATAATAATAATAATAGTTGTTATTATTTCTATTGAAATTATTATCATTAATAACTTACATTAAATTTGTATTGAAAAACATGTCATTAATTATAATATTAATAATAATATCTCGAATTTATATGGCGCCAGTTCCAAAGAAGATCAAAGGCGCAACGCATGTGAAAAGCCACCGGAAAAAATAAATTGGTCTTAAGCTGCGACGTAAAGTTGCAAATAGAGTTGGAAGAAGTTATGTAATTTGGAAGCTGGTTCAAAAAAACAAAAGAACATTGACTGTAGGTTTTGGTACGCCGTAATATTGGTGACAAAATGAAGTGTTTTGTATTCAATATACAGCAACCTTGGTAATTGGAAATCATTGCTTGTCTTTATGTATTGAATAAGGGAAGTTCTACATCTTCAGTTTCATTCTTAAGCACAGTGAACTCCTTAAGCGTTCACATAAATGACTAACAAAATTGTCACCTGAATATAGATTGGTAGCAGTATTAACATACATATAGGCCTATTCCTTTGACTTGAAGCCAAACACTGTCCCTTGAATAGGGGTCTCTCCGAACTGAGGGGTTCTAATTCTCTCTAATTACAAAATTAACTACAATTCTGATGACTTAGATTCGTTGCTAACAAAAATTACTTTGCATTTTTCCGGTTTGACATAAAATTTACTTTAAAATAATTATTTTGAAAAATTTATACAAAAAAAAACTATAATTTCTATCATAGGCCTATCATTATATTAAATATAGGTTTGTACACACAAAAAGATATTTAATATGCAAAGCAATTGTTACTATAGTAATTACAATTGTCATTTCTATAAAAATCAAAAATAATTGTTTATATAAAGAATATTAGAAATACATTTCAGGTATAATTGAAATAATTGTTTGAGTAATGTTACTTTAATCTTACTTTAGCTGAAACAATAATTTCAAGTTTATCGGCCATTTTAAATGCGTCATTTTGAGGTAGCCTACCCCAACGGGAATTTTGGTAGTTGTATACAATTCAAAGACCTACATTTTCAGAAAATAAAAATAGCTGGTAGTAGGCCCGCTGCGATTTCCAATTATATAATTTCTGTAGTTGTCCATTTGGGCTTAGCCTGCTCGCCTAATAATGGACCACGATCTCTTTCTGTTGGTATAAAATGTATATAGGCCTAGGCGCCAGCTTTGTATTTGTATCTTTGCCTGTACTTTATATAGGTCTATAAGTTTATTATCCTTCAACATTATGAGACTGCTATATTCAAGTTTGATTATTGTTCTTCTATTTTAAGATGTTTCGTTTTGAAATACCCACTCAGAGTTCGCACTGTCATCACTTTCAAAAGAAAACTATTAGTTACAGCCGGTATCTGGGTGATTTCAATCTTGTGTTCAATTCATGTTTTTCTAGATTTTCATGTAAGTAGCCCGTTGATTAATTGCCATTGTTTTTATAAATAGTAGTTAATAAGTTGAATAAATTACCAATTTAGTGCCGAGTAACAAAAATAGGCCTAGGACGCATGACAATAATGATTCATACACTTTCAACATGTTAATCTTTCATTGTTGTGTAGAATAGGTTTTATGTAGGCCTACATCATTCGGTTTAAACGTGTTCAGTGGTGTATCTATAGGAGTTATATATTGGTTTTTGGGGCAATAAGTAGGAAGCTCGATGATTAAAGTGAGGGACGTTACTTTCCAAATTTTTCTAGTGGCGGATCCTGTTGGGATCAAGAGTTTTGGTTGGCGTGCACTCCAAGTGCTCTTCTTCCCTCCGTAAAAATGCCGCTGAACATGTCGCTAAATAGTAAATACCATGCACCTATGTTGGTCATTCCACATAGTGTGCATCTTGTCTATAAAATTGATTTAGTTGTTAACCAATAACAAATATATGTTATATTTCTGCAGCCAGTCATTATATATTCTTATGTAAATGACGAGTTTGACGAGTGGCATCCTACAACACAATTTATAATTCCGGCAGTCATCGTTGTAGTATCTTGCATCATTACAGCTGTAACACTTATTAAAAGAATACGCAGTAATCGTTTACAGGAGTCCAATCAAAGTAACGTGTCCACAGGAAATTCTCTCAGAAATCCAAAAAAGGTAGGAATATAATCTAGCTTATTGAATGAAATGCGTTTACAATTGTTAACAATAATATGTTAATATATATAATAATAATAATAATAATAATAATAATAATAATAATAATAATAATAATAATAACAACAACAACAATAATAATAATAATAATAATAATAATAATAATAATAATTATTATTATTATTGTTATTATAAATAATTAAATTGTATTCTTCAGCGTACATATATATTAGAGGAGAGTTCTACAATGAAGGTACCAACATGCAAGTGGCAATTAAGGAAGTGAGTATCACTTATTTTATTAATAAAAACAAATAGAAAGGGTAGCACCTGAAATATGTATTTGAGTCACAAGTTTTTGTTAGCTTCTGGGCATGACGTCACCGAGTGCAATTTTGCGTTTTTTGATTTTAAACAATGGATACTATTTTTCCGCGACACCCTGGTTCTTTTTTGCTAATCTACTTAGAGTATCTAATAGCTGCGTTAATCCATTTATTTATGCACTCATGTCAAGTAGTTTTCGATCAGCTATCAAATCAACATTTTGCTGTAAAACAGAATCGACAAACAGGCAAAATTTAAATTTTAACTCCAGAAGTAGACCGTTGCAAAACAGAGTTTAGAAACAATGATAAACTAGGCCAAGAGTAATCTTCATTAAATAAGGCTGCATTCACATCCGACCCAAACCAAAATTCGGACCAGGTTTTCGATGCACTATGCCAGCGTCCCTATTCTTGTGACAGAGCGATACAGTCACAAAAGTCTTAGCATATTATTTTATAATATATAGGCCTAAGTGTATAACGGCTTATATAAAAAGTTGAAGATGTTTGCTGACAAAGGTTTTGTTATTCATTTCATAAGAATAAATTTAAAAAAAATATTAACTGATGGTGTGCGGATGGATGAGATCCAGGGATGAGATACATGGATAGATGGATGCATGCATGATGGATAGATAAATGGATGGCTTGATGGATGGAAGATCAATATGGACGATGGAAGAAGGGAGCCTTAGGAAAGCATAAAATAAATGAATTCAACAGAACGGACAGATGGACAAACGAACGACAAACGAACCAATGAATGAAGCCAACACATTTACTTTCACTCCCTAAAATTCGATGCAAAAAAAGTAATAAAACACAAATTTAATACTTGATTCGGTACCAGATGAGTAGGTGTAATTTCCTAGAATTAAATAATTTAGATGATTGCATGTAATTAAAAACTGTTTGTTAAAATAATAATAGCTATATTAAAATGAATATTTAGAATGTAAGTTTATGTGTAACCTGGGATACGGCGTCCAACATTTATAGAATAGTAATAATTAAGTAATAATACTGTACCATCAAATTTTACGTTTCAATTTATTGTCTATGTTCCCCCTAATAGGGGTTTTTACTCATCATCAATATATAATATTATTAATATATACAATAAAGATCCAGTGTTGCCAAATAATCAATTCTCTTAATTATTCTTATTTTTTATTGTCAAGACGGTAAACAATCCACCAAGTTGTTTGAAAGGAACTCAAAAGCAAACCTAATCACTATTGCGTTAGCATGAGAACCTCAACCACCCAGCTTCACAAAAATACAATGCTCAAAATTTATTAAAACTTTTTTACTATTTTTACATTTTTTTTAATAAAAAGTATAATTTGAAAATTTGGCGTTGAGCAAGAGTCAAAATTCACTTAATTTACTATACAATGTCTTTAGAAAAGTGTAAAATATATTAATTGAAACATTTAAAAAAATTATTTATTTGTCGATATATTATAGGAAACACCAGATTTGTAATTAGCCGTTAACATCAGCAAATTAAACAAAAAATTGTACTTTTTGTGTTAAATTTATGTTAGATAATAATTAAAAAAAATTTGTAAATTCAAGGAAGAGTATAATTCAATTTTGGATTAAATCGATTTCTGATCTGAGAAAAGAAAGGACAAATCAATGTAAAATGGAATTCATATTCGATTGAACGTAAATTACAGAGCTACTACAAACGACACTGGAGTGAAATCTTATTCCATCTACCATTCTCGACCTCTAATTTAATAACTCCTAAACCAAAAACAGTATTCTACGTTTAAAATTCTGAATTTCACACCCGTATATTAATGAGTAGGTGTAATTTCCTAGAATTAATTAATTTACATGTAATTAAGAATTGTTTATTGAAACATGTTGAAATTGGTAATATTATTTTTACATCAAAGCGTTTATCCCATATATTTATTGGTAGATAATTTAAGTTCTGATTTATTGATGATTTAAGAGAATATAATATGTAGCCGCAGTAGATCAAAATGTATATATTTTAGACTATATTATTTTACACTGTAAATACGACGACTACCATTTAGGAACGTTGGTAATCTAATTAACGAGTTTGTCTGTTAGCAATAAACGCAGATATTGTGTTAAGTGTGTTTTGAAGAAGTGTTAATAAAGTAGAGTAGCGCATTTTCGAATTTGTATGTTTCTCTGGATTTCGCACTCATATCATACATTATTGCCTTTTTGACAGTTGCATTCTATTGTATTATTCCATTGACCGTATTAATTTAAACACAACTCCTAGATATGTGTATGATGTATCAACTTCCATTTCAACATTCTGATATCATTTTTGAAATTTCCCTAAATACCATTATTTTAGTTTACATTCATATTGAGTCCCATGTGTCACAAAATTTTTCGAGCTTATTTAATGCTTTTTTTTTGAAAACTTTTGACTGTATCTCCAAATAACATCAGCACATAATATATGGTTTCTTTCCAAATTGAATTTCTTGTATACATATATATAAACACGTTATATCGTCATTGCGGACTTATAAAATCCGCATACGCTATAAAACTAAAAGAAAATGTATGCTTTTAGAGTCTGTACTGGGCCCAAAAAATCCGCAATGAAAATATAACGTGTTTATATATATACATATATTCAACTATATATATATATTTATATATATATTATATATACATATATATATATATATATATATATATACAGTAATGAAGATAGCCGTTAACACCGTTAAGTTATATATAAATAATCAAAGAAAGGTAAATACAGTGTTAGAATAAAGGACATGATGGTACTGTACATCTCAACTGTACATCTAATATTATATATATATAATAATAATAATAATAGTCAAACATAGTTATAAATTCACATAAGGTGTTCAATAAAATAATATGTCGAACATTTAGTTTGTATCATAATACCCTGCACTATATACAGATGAGAAGACAATCATGTGACGTTCTCCCGGGTATTCACTACTTGTCACACCATACAAGTTGGTTCCGACCGAAATAAATATCAGCTCTTACTTCAGCTGCTTGAAACCTTCAATTTCTTCTTAAGTCTTAAGCCTGTCGTTGGAGTTTAAGCTGTACTCTTTTGACCATCTATAAATTAACAAAATACACCTTTCTAGAATAGTTATCCTAAACAAACGTCATTTCAAGCATTCTGGAACATGATTAACTTTCAAACTTTCATATTAATAAAATGGTTAATCTATAGATTTATGCTACCAATGTTATGTACAATTGTATACATACTCCTAGCTAAACGTACGGTTAGTATTAAAGACGTGTCCAAATATTAATACACAGACCCGTATCCAGGGGTTTTTTTTATGGTTCGGGAGAACACCCCTTTCTAGCAAACCCCCCACTTTTCTGGCGAAACCCTCTCTATAATTTTCCCAAATAAGTCCTCCAGCCCAACTAATGCACTGCAGACCTACCAAGACACAGACAGTTTTAAACATATCTGCTTTTATAACATTATTTAGACCCATAAAGCACAACAATTCTGTTGCTTTGGGGGTTTCGCCGACCCCACTGATGCTTCGAATGTGGACTTTACGCCCAGAAAACCCCCCTTGAAAGAACCGGGCTCAGACGGGCCTGATACACAATATTATTTGCATAGATCCAAAGTCAATTTAAGCATATGACATAAATAATGCATACCACAGAAACATTCAACATTCCTGCATTAATTCAACCCTATGCAATATTACAATTAAATCTATTTCATATACGTTATTTAGTAAACGATGCATTAACGTTACCCACGGTCAAACTAACTCCACTTGGCTCTTATATGAGTTGCACAATACTGTGATGCTCCTAGCTATCACCATATATCATTTAGGTAGGCTTCACTATGCCTCTTAACTTTGCTTAATTTTTGGTGCACCTTAATAGCTGACATGTCCCTGCTTGGATAATACTCTACAGCTTACACACTTCCATTAAGCCTTTACTTATGCAACACTCCCTCTCCCTTCTGGTTTCTCTACCAGGTCTACCCACCCCTGCTAACACAAATTAACATATTCCCCCACCCATTTTCTTTACACTTATCAGAAGTTGCCACTTGCCTAAAAGTTATTCACATTCATGAAACTTTTAACTACCCTGGATTAATGCTAAATCAACCATTAACTCATGCATATTCATTATACTGATTCTACACTATTAAAACAAACAACCATTAAATCATGAATATTTATTACCCTGATGCACTAATACAGTGAGTGTAACACATTGTAAGGTCCACTCTGTGACAGCTGTTTATTTATTCAAAATAAAAGACCCACTGCAGACTTAGTACACTTTTTCAATTCTTCGGACAAGGCTCTTGATTAGAGACATTCTCAACCTTTTTCCAAAATGTGCATTTTTAATTTCGTGTGTCCCATTCGCAGAATGACGTTTTTTTTTTTTTGTTTTTTTTTTTATTGTAAGTTTTTTATTCTTTAATATTTTCTGTGTAATACAAAAATAACGACAATTGCATTTTTTTCTTTTATTGATATGATTTTTAATTGATGTAAGACATTTTCATTAACCTCAACTTTAGAAAATTCAACTCGGTTAAAAAAATAACGAATTATTGGTTTTGTAAATCCAGATACTGTTTATTATACCGTACAAATTACAGTACAGTAGGCCTACAGCATAAAATTAATTGAAAAAGCCATAAAATTCGACTTTAAAATGAATTTGTATGTATATATATACTAATACTTTGCAAATCTTGAGAATTTTTAATGCTACTTGAGATTTTTTAGACTTAATCTTGGGAATTATTATTTTTCCGAGGTCACGCTGGTTTTAGCTATTCATTATTTGGAATGTGAGTTTTTGAATAGAATTCACCCATTTTTAGTGCATGCTTCTGTCGACTAAATAGATTGTCAATGCCTTCAATGCAGCTGCCTAACAAACTTAGTCAAAATAATAACTATAGAATGATGACAGAATTATTATTCATTATTGAATTAACTATGCAAAATGTTCAATATTGTACTCACTTTATTTTGTTATTAATTATAAAGTCTCCATAGTAATCTTTCAACTCCATTGACTAATGTTTATATGAAATACGCCACCTGGAGAGGTACCGAAAACAATTCATTATTATTTTTCTAAAGTGTCTTTATAATATGATAATAATGATGATGATAATGATGGTGATGATATGGTGGTGGTTATGATGATGGTGATGATTATGATGATATGATGATGATGAAGAAGATAATAATGACAATGATGATAAAGAAGATAATAATGACAATGATGATGATGGGGATGGTGATGTTAATATAATATTCATGTATACTTTATTCATTCACTCAAATTGACTAACAAGTCCGCTAACAATCAACCGAGAGCTGGAACCGTAGTCTTACATATTTATAAACTGCAATAGGCCTATTCTGTAATGCATAAAAAGCAATACGGAAAACGAAAAACAACAACCACAATGACGATGATGACGGTTATAATGATAATGAGGATGGTAGTGGTGGGGATGATGATAATGATGGCTATGTTGATGATTCTAGGATAAGACGAAGGAAATGAAAAGATAAATCAGAATAAACGATAAAATGAAAAGGAAAACAAAAAATAACATCAAAAAGAAAAACAAAAAGATAAATAAGAGTTAAGATGAAAAATACTAAACTAAAAAAAAAATAATCCAAAGATAAAGAATAGAAATGAGTAGAAACAATAAGGTGAAAGGAAAGAAAAAGAAAGGATAAAAAAGAAATCAATGATAAAATGAGCGGTAAAGAAAACGAAAGAAAACATCAAAAGTAAGGATAGGCCTAAAAAAAGAAAGATATTGAAAAACGAAAAGAAAAAGATATGCAGAAAATGAAGATTTGAAATGAATAACATAAATAACGAAAAGTATCACAATACATAAATGACGTGATGATGGAGATATGAGTAAATACCTACAGTAACAAATTTTAGATGAGAAGAGCACGTGACAAACCTAATTATGTTCATGATGACATCACGTCATGACCATGACTTCATGATCATAAGGAACAATATAAATTAAAAACGCACTTTGTTTATACAGTAATTTAGGTGGTTTAATGCGCGGTTAATACACTCCATGATGCAGATTGATGTTATAGTGGCCTATAATTGTTTTTTATAAGGACCGTAGTAATTCCCAAAATTTGCAGCATTCATTTTGAAAATAAGCCTCCCTTCCCAGCCCCCTCTATAATTTGAAAAAGTAGCATCGAAAAGAAGCCCATTCGAAGTTCTCAAAAAAGAAGCCCAGTGCTTCAATATTTTGTAATTAATGAGCAATTCGATAGTTTTATTTATTCATTTATTCGTTCGTTCGTTCTTTCGTTCGCTAGTTCGTTCGTTCATTCGTTCAATCGTTCGTTCGTTCATTCATTCATTCATTTACTCATTCATCCGTTCATTCATTCATTCATTCATTCGTTCGTTCGTTCATTTATTCGTTCGTTCTATCGATCGTTGGTTCGTTCATTCATTCGTTATGAAATTTATAAACATCCAATATTTTAAACTCATAAAGCAAGAATTGAATGAGCTTTAAATTTTGAATATTCAGTTAAATTATAAAATAGAAACCTCAACGTACAACACAAACGGTATGGGGGAGCAGTGTTATACACTTGTAAACACATTTTTGAGGTATAGGCCTAGTCCTTAACTGGACGGAAAATGTCAGTTTGGTCTCCTAAACCTATAGCCTTTGGATCCCCTATAATTAAGACCGGCATTTAGAGGTCCTAAGTTGAATTCTCATCTGGGAGATCTGGTTACGTGTTTTCTAGAATCTAAATATATTTTGTTGTGCATGTGATACCCATTGGCACTGACAATGGATAATACAGTAGCAAAAACTTGTAAAAACATGCAAATATCGTGAATTTGCAGGAAGTTTATATTTTTCACGAGATTAGTGCATGCACGCCGCAGGAGTGTGCGAGGCTTCCCGCCGATTTCCTGACTCCATCCTGCTACTCGACGGGAGACGGCACCTCAACTATTTGCACTTAATGTGAAATTTAGATTTTTTTATATTATTTAGGGAGTAAATACGAAATGTTACATTAAATAGATTTAAAGTGGATGTAGAGTCACTGCATGCT